TTCTTTTTTAGATTTTGTTTTGTGTTTGTAGCACCCCCTAGTAAAGGAAAACACTGCGTAATACCCAGATATTTATGTTATCTTTTCCTAAGCATATCGAATTCGGCAATAATTGTCACAGAATAACACCGCCATGGAGTTAATCATTTCATCTGTGATCTGTGATACAGACACATTTGGAGGCACTAGATCTATGCAGATCTTGTCCGGAATAATACTACAGGGGAAGGCTTGGGGGAGATTGCACACAAGTGAGTAGATTTTATGACGCTAGATAAACGCGGGGATGGAACTATCAAAGCTTGGAAAAATCAGGATTAGTTTGTACGAAGCATTACAACACCCCCCCCCCCTTTTCTCCCCTTTTATTTATTATTTTCCCCCCCGATCTTTCTCCATGAGCCCTCTTTAGAATAGCCCCTTCTCCCTAAAAAAATAAAGAACCCTTTCATTATTCTCATCGTTCTCATCTTTCACTTTTCATCTGTATTCTTGTTTTCCATTCTGTTCTCCAATTTCGCTTGTCTTGTCATTCTTTACTAGTTTATTATCATCGTTTCTATTATTATTATTACTATTATTATTATTATTATTATTATTATTATCAACCACAACCATCGTGACAACGTGACAAATGCCGAGCCGATAATGATGTCTCGGATGATGTCTCGGTTATTATTATTATTATCATTTTTGTTGTTGTTGTTATTGTTGGTGTTTTTTTGTAATGTGTTCAGTTCTCTCAACTAATGTAATTGTAACGCTTACTAAATTATTTTTATTAGTCTAGATTAGCTATTTCGGCCCACAGGATATTTACTTCTGTCCAATTAGCAAAAGTCGGTTTGCATTACAAATGCTCAAGGCCTTGGAGCAAAGAAATTAATCTTACAAATTATGAATCAAAATTTGTTGAAATAAATAACAATTCTCAAGATTGTGTTTCTGCTTTTGCTGCTTCAATTCTGAACTGTAGCACAACAAGCTTAAAACAATTTTAAAGCAGCAAATAATTTAGTCCCACAAATACATAAAAGCAAATTAAATTTTATAGCCTAACAATACAGAGATCTCATATATTATTTTTCCTCTCAGTTTACTTTATTATGTAAATTTCGTTTTTTTTGTGTGCATAAACCATATAACGACAATAATGGTAATAATAGAAATTATTATTATTATTATTATTATTATTATTATTATTATTATTATTATTGTTATTATTGTTGTTGCTTCCGTTATTGTTGTTTTGATTATTGGTTTTGGTGATATGTATTCATTTTGCAATTTTTACTCATGCCACTTTCTTTAGTAACACTAAATTGATGTTGATTTTAAGGTTGGGATGAATTGTTGCACTCACTTCTAATGAGCAAATACACTTTTTTTTTTTTACCAAAGTTCAGAAAATTACCGTTTACTCATATACTAAGACAGAAGTATCAACTAAATCTAGATCTAGTACATATTATATTTATGTAAACTTGTATCTTGATTTCTTTCTCATGCTAAAGGAGTTATTATGTATTTGGTTTTTTTTTTGGTCAAATGTAAACCTCAGTTTATTTTCTGTGTAATAAAATAAAATGTTAACTTTCATAGACAAATTAAATTTGATAACCAGATTGGTCAAGACTATTTGAGTTTGTAGTAAACTTTGTAAACTGTCAGGAAGTGTATTTTTATTTATTTATTTATTTATTTATTTATTTATTTATTTATTTATTTATTTATTTTTAATTTTTATTTATTTATTTTGGAAAAAGGTTACTTTATGGGTAATAATAGGTGCATACAATTATTACGATCACTCTCACAAGTTGTAACATGGAGCACTCTCCAACAAAAGTTAGGAGAAATGATATAGATCTAGATCTATATAGAAAATACCCATTTGAATACTAGATCTATAATTCTTTTTCACTTCAGCGAATGCACTTTTGCACTTTCACTTTTAGTGTCTCAGGGCTTGGTTCCTAACGGGATATGTAATAAATGCTGTTTATTCTTGTTATTATTATTATTATTATTATTATTATTATTATTATTATTATTATTATTATTCTAATGAGATTTCTGTGAGGTAACTGGGGTGATCCAACTTACCGACAATCCCCATCCAAGGGTAAAAGGGAGCAGGATTCTCCGGTGATGGGTTAGAGGACTGACTGTTGTTTGGCTGGCCTCCCGGTTGTCCCGGGTTCAAATCGTCACTACCAGCCTTAGGGCTTAGCGAACAAGCACTGATACCGTTGGGGTCTCCTGGACTCCCGAACGGGCTGTGTTGACTCCGGGAGGGGGAGGGTGTGGAGATGTGACTGGACGGGTGGCCGGGCCAGTCCAGGGGCTGGTAGCCCTGTAGGAAACCTCCGGGGTGGCGAACGGAGGCTGAAGATGATGATGCTGAAGTGCCCCCTCCTCCTCCTCCACCTCCTCCTCCTTGTGGTGTTGTTGCTGTGTTGTTGTTGGTGTTGTTGGTGGTGGTACTGTTGTTGGTGTTGGGTTGTGTGTTGGATGTGCTGTTGTTGTTGTTGTTGTTGTTGTTTGAGGTGTTGCTGTTGTGGTGGTTCGCGTGTTGTTGTTGCTGTTGTTGTTGGCTTCCTGGTGGTTGTTGTTGTTGTTGTTGGTTGTGATGGTTGTGGTGGTGGCTGGAGGTGAGGAGTGTGTGGTGGTGATGAGGGTGACCCAGGAGGGGTGGTGTATCCGGGCTGTCCAAGCCACTGTGGGTGCTGTTGTTGTTGTTGCTGTTGCTGACAGCATTGCTGCTGTTGCTGTTGCTGCTACTGCTGTTTCCATGGTGAGATAGAGACGCGGCCGACGGAAGATGAGGGTGGTGGTGATGATGATGGGCGTAGGGCGAGGAGGACGATGACGACGGCGAGCTGTGTTTATTACTGCTGGTATTGTTATTATTTGTATTATTATTATTGTTGTTGTTATTATGATACTTATCGTGGGCTAGGGGCGGCGGAGCTCCAGGATGATGCAACGACGAAGCGCCGTGGGCATGAGCGGGTGTGATGGGGTAGCCACCAGGACCCGTCAGGTCGTTAGGGGACCCTAAACCGCTGTGGTGGTGGGGGTGGTGGTGGTGGTGGGCGCCTAGAGGGCTCACCCCGGGGCCATACGGCGAGTGGATCGGAACCCCACCTGCAGTAGCCGCTGATTTTTGAGCGGTGGAGGCGCTGGCCGAGTGGTAGGGTGAGTAGGGTGACGGGCCCGTGTCTGGAAGGCCGGACACTCCGCTGGGAGAGTGACCAGAAGATGCTCCAGCGCAGACGACTCCTCCATAGCCGCCAGAAGACGCCGGACCCTGGTGGTGGTATCCTCCGAGATGTTCTGAGAACCGGCACGAGTAGAGTCCATAGTTTCCAGCCGCTGTGGCAGAAGAGCCGTAGCCATTGGGGACGTAATGACTCTCAGGCGAATATTGCGGCAAGAAAGAGGCCGCAAAGTAGGAATTCATGGCCGCTTGGATATATGATCGAAAGACTATCCTAACTACATGACCCTAGCTCGGGATATGTGATTTGTGGGGGCCCTAACTCACGAACAGACCAAAATAAATCACCGGGCGGAAAATGAGATGGTGCTGTGTCTCGCGGCGACCAATCGCAGCGCGCGTTGCTTCTTGGCCCGAGGTGGTTGCGATTGCGGTCGTACGCTAGCTCAGCCCACTGGCTCTCCGGCAAGAATACTGAGCGGAGGGGAAGAGACAGAGACACAGAGAGCGGGGGGAGAGAGAGGGAGACACAGAGAGAAGGAGAGGGAGAGGAAGAGGAAGAGAGGGCGCGCCGGCAGAGAACTCGACGAAGCCAAACGTAGCGACGGGCGAAGCGAAGAGAAGAGAAGGGAAGAGAATAGGAGAGCGCGGCTGTGCGATCGGGCGAAGGGGAACAACTCCGGTGAACAACTCTCCACTACCACAAACAGGAGAAGTTCTCTACTCCACTCTTCTGTATGGAGAGGTAGGCTTACCCGTGTCTCCTATCGCGGGAGCGCGCAACCTGCCAGTGTTCGTCTGCAAGCACTGAAGCAGAGCCAAGACACACCATAAAGAAAATAAAAGAAACAAAACAAACAAAATAAGACAAAATAAAAGCCAAATTTTTTTTTTAAAAAATGAGTGCTGTTCTGTGCTTGCTGCACACACAATCGTAGGATAGTTGTTGCGTTGTGTTGTCGAAGTGGTTAGTGTGTGCGACCGTGTGAGCGTGTGTGTGCCAGTCTGTCTGCCTGTCTTTTTTCTCTCTCTGTGTGTGTGTGTGAGGCATAGAGGGCTGGAAGGGAGGTGGGTGCTGGGGTTGTCAGGTCAGGGCGTTAGAATACATCACAAAAATCAAATTAAATAGTAGCATAACGTTTGAGAAAATAGAACATATCTTTAAAAAATGTAATTTATATAAAACCTTTTTAACTCCTAGACTGCCCCAGTTAAAAAAAATAATTTTATATTCACGTTTACCAGCAGTTTTTCACACTTGTCTTTTAAAGGGCACGAAATGTTATCCCCTCTTCATTACATTTTGTGATTCTCATTTTGATCCTTTCCTTTGTGTTTGATTGTCATCCCCCTTAAAAAAAAAGAAAGAAAAAGAAAAAAAAGGGGGGGGGGGGGAGAATAAGAGAAAATACAGTCTTTGGTTTCATTTCTTATTATTTCCCCCCTTTCCTCTTTACAATAATTACATTTGTTATTTATACTTGGATATTATTTCCTTTTGCACACTTTTCTGCGTAGGTCAACTGTCTGAATTTTTTCCCCATATTTCTCTTCTTTTACTTTTCATCACTTTTTGTTCTGTTCGCTATCTTTTCCCTTTTCATTCTCTCCCGCCCCCCCCCACCTCAAACACCTCTCTCTCTCTCTCTCTCTCTCTCTCTCTCTCTCTCTCTCTCTCTCTCTCTCTCTCTCTCTCAATCTCTCTCTCTCTCAATCTCTCTCTCTCTCAATCTCTCTCTCTCTCTTTCTCTCTTTCTCTTTCTCTTTCTTGTTCCCTCTCTCTCCTTCTCTTTGTTCGTCGTCTCCCCCTTCTCTCTCTCTCTCTTGTTGGCTGCCCCCTCTCTCCCTCCCCCCTCTCTCTCTCTCTTTCTCTCTCTCTCTCTCTCTCTCTCTCTCTCTCTCTCTCTCTCTCTCTCTCCCTCTCGCTGGGTCTTGATGATGAAGGTGATGATGATGATAATGATTTTTCATTCAAAAATGGGTACCCTAGTGGCCCCCTCTTATGCCAACATTTTTATGACTGAATTTTGGCGCAAATATGTCTCCCCTCTTCCCAACCAATCATTTGTACTTATGCGTTACATGGATGGCATTATCGCCTTGCACAATGGTTGCTCTGAAACAACTCCAGAATTTCTCACTGTTCTGAACAAGGCGCACCACTACATCAAATTTACTTATTCCAGCCCAGGTAAGTCCTGTTCTTTCCTGGACATGTCCCTCCTCATCCCAGATAACCAAATTGAGACAGACCTATATAGAAAAACAACAACTACCGACTCCAATCATTACCTCCCACCTTCTTCAAACCATCCCAAACATATATTTCGTTCAGTGGTTTGTAGTAGTGTACTTAGACTCCGCCGTATTTGTTCCCATGAAAGTTCTTTTAAACAACAGATAGAGGAATCCACAGCCAAGCTTCTTCACAGTGGGTACTGCAAAAATTTTGAAACGCCCATTATCGAAAAAGTCAGCAAATTGAACCACATAACCTTTCTGACCTACAAACCCCTTAAGCCTAAACAGAAAAGACCATTTTTCATCACAACTAATCACCCAAAAACCTTGGAAAAAATCAGACAAAATGAAACCCTCTTTCCCCGACCGTCCTCTGATTGCACTTCGACAGCCTCCCAATCTTGGCAACCTCTTCATTCGCACAAGAGCAGTTAAACCCACGTCCTCACCTCCGATAAACCCATTTTCCCCGCCTCAAAATTATCCTTGTCAAAAACCTAGATGCAAAACATGTTCTTACCTTACATGGAAGTGACCAACTTTGAAGAAGGCCCGCATTTTAAAAGAAAACTTCCTCACAGCATCATTTGTGAAACCAAGAATGTAACCCACCTCATATCGCTTAAAGTCTGTCCAGCTCAATATGCAGGTCAAACTACCACCACACTTAGAGCTAGGTTTAATAACCATAGGTATTTGGTCCAGAAAAACGCATGCACATCAATTAGCCAACATTTCAATAGTCCTGGTCACAATGGAGCCTCCGATTTGCAGCTTCATGGTACTGAAATAGTCCAATATCCAACGAAAAAAAACCCTCAACAAAAGAGAATCAAAGTGGATTTGAAACTTGGGGTCTCACAAAAATTCTCACGGGCCTTTACACCGACGAGCCACATTTTAAGGACCTTAAATTTACAACGTTACGTAATAACCACCCCTTGTATTCCAGTAACCCCCCTCCCTTTGGCCCTGCCTTTCCGTTACATTCATTACCTCCATGCACTTGTTTCACCTACAACTCCCTCTCTCTCTGTCTCTCTCTCTCTCTCTCACTCCCCCCCTCTCTCTCTCTCTCTTTCTCTCTCTCTCTCTCTCTCTCTCTCTCCACCACTTCTTGCTTTAGCATTCCCCTTTAACTCTCCTATCCGATTTGTGTTCACCACACTTATCAGCGTTGTGACATGAATATACGCACTTTGGTTTCTTCAGCTTGTGTAGTCGTTTGTATTCTGAATATCACTAATGAAGCCCGTTGAGGGCGAAACGTTGAACTTGTCATTAAATATTTAGGAAAATACTACCAAGTTTTAACCGTTTTACTATCTGCTGTATACCATGATGACGATGATGATGATGACGATGATGATGATGATAATGATGATGATAACAATAAGAAGAAAAACAACAATAATAATAACAACAATGAAAATGACAATAATAATGATAATAATAA